GTCCTCACTGTTAGGAAGTTTCTCCTTAATTCCAGGTTGCTTCTCTCTTTGATTAATTGCCAAACAGCAAAAAGACAGAAAAATGGGCATTTCAAAAGAAATGATTATTTCTGTATGGGGGAGGGGGAGCACTTCCCATCTGTGGCCACCACATTTCCTCATCTCCCTGTCACAGATAGCAAGGGCAGGCCGGTCTATCAATGTTCTTCTCCTCCTCCCCCTGGGGCTTCTGCCTCAGGAGCCTCACCTGAGCAGCTTCTCACTGGAGGTCTCTGCAGTGGGGCTGCCCTGATCAAGCTCAGACAGCGTTGTCATTGTGCCGGGGCTGAGGTGGATGCCTTTTCTGTTGCGAGGAGCAGCTTTCTTTTCCTTTGGGGCTTCCCGGGAGACCTCAGGTTTCTCCTTCCTGGACCTGCCTCGAGTCGGGGTGGCCAGATCCTCCTGAAAGCCAGTGGAAACATAGCAAGACAGAAAGCCAATAAATAAGAATATCAACATTAATATTAACATTAATTAAAGATTAACATCAGAACAACAACCAAGTAAACAATACCCCAAGTGAGGAACTGCCAAACGAGCCAACCGTAAACAGCTCAACAAAGAACCTCTAAGACCATCTCCACAACACTAACATTGATGATGTTACCTAGTTTGGACAATGAAACATCTGCAAGAAAACCACCAGACTCAGAAAGCACCAAGGTCCCCTCAAGAAGGAAAGTGTGAAACTAGGAATCAGGAAGTCCAATCACCATAATGTTAGCAGTGCTGACAGAAACGTTTTAGGTTATATATCTTCATATCATTGGCTAGTGGATAACTATAAATGAGTACACTTGATCTTTGTGCTAGCAGGAATCAATTTTTCTCAGTGAATGGACACATTTGGACATGATCTCTCAGAAAATCACTTTGTGAATTGAGTAGCATAGTTACATTACAAGATGTAGTGCAACGCAACATACATATTAAGCAATTCTATTTCCTATCACTTTATCAAGGATGAGGTATTTTGGGGCAGCAGCCAGACTGGACATGGTTAATGCCAGGAGAACTTCTTTCAGAGATTTTATATGTAAGTTTTTATTAAGAAGATTAAGAAAGAACACAAGAATGTCCTATTAGAATGACAAAACCAGGTACAACTTGCTAATGAAGTGTCAGGCACAGGGAAATCAAAAAAGGCACACGATGAATCACTCAAAATAGTTTCTTTATTGCTCTTTTGCCTACAGACAGGAATCTTTCAGACTAAACTACACTCTCCATAACTATTAGATAAATGCTGTGAAGATTTAGGGAGGATCTTTTCTGGGCCTCTTCCTTTGTACCAATGACTTAATGCTGATTAGTCTCCTCTGCCTCCTGAAATTCAGCACCAGATTACACCACATCAACTTTACGATTCGAGTTTCCTTTCTCCGGCCAAGCACACTGGTTTTGCACACAGAGGGGAACTGGCTGCCCTCTTTTGGCAAGAAGGTTAGCGTTAGGGTTAAGGCCATTCCCCACTTAAACAGTCTTGACTTAATTCTGGCATGCCCTGTCCTGATTCTCTTCGCAGGTAGCTGGGTATTTTTGGGGGCAACATTTTTCAATGGATGGATGGAAACTAATCAAGGAGAGAAGCAACCTATAACTAAGGAGAAATTTCCTGACAATGAGAACTATTAGCCAGTGGAACCAATTGCAGTCAGAAGTGGGTGTTCCATCACTGGAAGCTTTTAAGAAGAGACTGGACAACCACTTATCTGAATTGGTATAGGGTCTCTTGCATGAACAGGGATTTGGAATAAAAAACCTCTAAGGTCCCTTCCAACTCTGTATTTTGTTATGATTGCATTGTATTTTCCTTAAGTTTACTTCTCTTTTTTAAAGAGGAAAAAATGATTTTAAATTACCCAAATCCTTTGAGCACTCCTTAGAAAGGTTGGTGGCAAGACCCTTCTTCATCTTGGTGCCCATCCTCTGAACTCACCCCAGTTGGGCACTGTCCAAGACCATATATTAAAGATAATGGAATGGAGAGATACTCCTCTGTCTGTTCAATGCAGATGGAGGAGACATTTACCAGCACCTTTACTGGCAGGATTTGGGCTTAGACCCTAAAAAGCAACATCAGCAACTTGTCAGCCCAGGTACCCCAAAGCAGCAACTCCGTACCTTTGCCGCAGGGAGACTCGCTGGAGTCTCCACACCACTCTCACCCTCCTTTTTGTCCTCCTCTGGATTCAGTTCTTCAGGAATGATGAAGGTGAAATGCTTGAGAGCTTCTGAGGCAACTTGTGCTGGTCGCTTTTCGGGGTATGGGATCACTGAGAAAAAGGCAGTGGGAGGAATGGGTGGTCCTGAAGGGCCCAGCCCCAAACCATTCAAAATCTAGAGCAAGGAATAAAGTGGAGTTGTCACTTCCATGATGCCATGCTAAACGAAATTGCAAACACAGGCCTGGAACCTTTGTTTTTAGCCTTATCCCAAAGCCCCATCAACTTATTTAGGGGCAGCCATTGGAGACATGTCAAACCATCCTAGGATTCAGGTTTGGCTTTCCTGGCAGTTGAGCGGAAGCTCTGCATTGCAGGAACAATGCAGGTACAGATTATGGAACTGCTCTTAGATGGCATATTCGCTTCAAGAAACTATCTTTGAGAAAACCAGGGGCAAAATATTTGGGGACTGGTTCCCACTTGCTAGTTCTTGAGTCTTGTACAATGAACAGGCTACCCACCCCTACCCCATATAGATATTTATATAGCCTTGTAATAAGGTAAAACACTAAAGGACATCCTAATTTGTTGACCCTTTGGGGTGACCAGCATTTTCTCAGTCTGACTGGACGTCCCTTGACTAAGGTTTTCCCCCTAGCTAATGAATCCCTGAATCCCATCACAGCCTTGCCGCCAGCCTGCAAACTCTCTCCCTGCAAAGCCCAGCCCAACCCACCCACTGGGCACATCACCCCAGGGCTCACCTGGATAACCCTGGGCAGTTTGCCACTTTCCAGGATCCGCTTGCCACTGGACTCCTCGGAACTGAGGACATGGATTTCCAGAGAGGGGATGCCAATGTCTCTCTCTGTACCTTCTCCCCCTTCTCCCTCCAGTCCAGCAGCTCTGCTGTCCTCCATGGCCTTCAGCTTTTCCAGGCGTTCCCGCTCTGCTTTCTCCTTCTCCAAGCGCTCCTTCTCTGCCCGCTCCTTCTCCAGCCTCTCCTGGCGCTCTCTTTCCCGGTCCTTCCTGCCTTTACGACCGGACGGAGCCTGGCGCTGATCCTCAGCTTCCTCCTGCTTATCCTCTGAGCCTGGTGGCTGCAGCTGGACCAACTGGACCCTGTCCCAGAACACCAGGATCTGACCGATCTCCTTCTGGCTGGCCTCATACAGCTTGAACCGCTGTGCCAAGCTCTTCTCACTCTCGCTCATGTCCTTTTCTGCTTCCTCTTCTTCCTGGGCTGCAGGGGGCGCTGCACCTGGCTGCCCATTCTGCAGGGCCATTCTGCTCTTCTTTTTCTTCTCATCTTTGTCATTGAAGTTCACATCTGGACGCTCCTTTGCAGAACCTTTTCGCTCAAGCCCTTCATTCAGCCTCCCTTCTGATTTGTAAGCTGATATGGTGGGATTCTGTGAGAAGAAAAGGAAGGAAGCATTCAGCTGTTCTAATTGTGCTTGCATCAAGTAAAAGAGCCTCTGTGAGCAAAGCTCCCAGGCTTTCCAGCACCTGGATTTTGTGACTAAAGAAACTGACACCCACTACCTGGTCACCAGTAACGACAATTTAGGGAGCAAAGCTATTTGGATTGCTCCATCAGAGGCATCCATTTACTGATCCAAAGTAAAATGGTGCGAGTTGCCCGTATAGAGTGTAAGAAAGTACCCCTGATGGAAATATAAAGGTTCTGTTGCTTAGGCAAAAGGGCTAAAATTGTTTTAAGTTAAGAATGTCCAGATAATGCTCAGAGATAGCTCAGACACCTCCATAATTCACTGCACTGTAATCAAGAAGTCAAGCCCTATCAGACTTGCAAGAGTCTGACCCCTAGACTGGTCCACCTGGTAGGGTTAACAGTGATGCAGCAGTTGGGCAGGACTCCCCTTGAGACTCACCTGCTTGCCTCCTTGCTGGCCTTTTTTCCCTACTGCCTCTTCTTTCTCTTTGCCCCCATCCTTCTTATATCGCTTGGACTTCTTCTTCACCTCCTCCTCCTCCCGCAGGCGCTCCAGTTCTTGTTGATGCTTCTTTTCCTCCAGCTCTCGAGCTAGCTTCTCCAGCTCCCTTCCAGGCATATAACAAGGTGAAGATTTTTTAAATAATTCTCCACAAATGTCTATATAACATTCAGCCCTGAATTTCATTAGTTTTCCCCCTAAATTAAGGGCCACAGTTTTGGTAAGAGCCACATCCTGCATGGGGCTACAAAACCACAACTCATCTTCCTCTGTGGGACCCAAGCAAATTGGCAGACCTGCAAAGGAAGAGTCTCCTCACCTTCTTTTTCTCTCCCGTAAGGCCTGCAACAGCTCATTGTCAAATTGGACCTTTTGTTCTTCTGTAAGAGCATCATACTCCTCTTCATCCATTTCCTGAAGACGAGCCTTCTCTCTTGCAACCGCTTCCTGCTGTTCCCGCTCTTCCACAGAGATCAAGAAGAAAAGAGATTCCTCAATCTGCCCATTGGGATTCTATCCATTAATGATGCCAATGCCTGAGTTCCCATCCCATTACAGTTCTTGCAAAAAAGAAGAATGGGTGAGAAAGGCAAGGCAGGGGAAGAAGGAACTCAAATCTGACAACCACAAATTCCATCGCCTGATTCTATAGAATGTGACTGGTACTAAGACACACAAAAAGAACAATTGGATGAGCCCACAAAAACCACATTGTTCTTACCTTCCTGCTCTTGCTTGCTTATCTCTCTAGCTTTCATAGCAGCAAAATCCTGAAAGAGGTTCACGAAATAAATATACCGCCGGTTGTTGATTGCTTTAAGCAGGCAGAGGAGCGCTGATACCATGCTGCGGGCAAACATAGTTTCCAACCCATCGAACACCATACCACGATAGCAATCACTCAGCTGTCCAAAATGGAAGCACACCAGGTTTAGGCCAGTCAGTAATGCGGTAGTGCTGTTCACACATCCCACTAACACAAGTGAAAAGCAGGGATTTCAAAGGCAATCAGAGGCAACTTATTAGAGTCCTCCAGAAATGCAAGGAAGTCAGGATTTGTTGGCTTCCAAAAAGAATGTCCATTTTCTCAAGTCCCTTGAGAAGAAAATAAAATATTCAAGCCAATGATTTGACCAGACATGCATTGCTTTTGAATGATCTAGAAACTTCAACAAAGTTAGTATCATGCAGTAGGGGTCTCCAACCTTGGCAACTTGATGACTTGTGGACTTCAACTCCCAGAGTTCCTCAGCCAGTGACAATTGACTGGAATTGGCTATAGGTCTTGTGACACACAGTCTCATGCTCCTAATTATGTCATCTTCTGTGAGGACTCACAACTTGCTCAAGCTTTTCTAACAATAACAGAGTTGGAAGGGACCTTGGAAGTCTTCTAGTTGAACCCCTGCTCAAGCAGCAGACCCGATTGTCAGGCCTGGAAGCCATCTTTTACTTTTTGAATTTCAGGCCTACCACACTTTCTACTGTGGGAAAATGGGAGGGGGGATTATGCAGAGTATGGGTGATGTGCAGCCATAATAACATTCTTTCACAGAAAGTCAAGGTCGCTTTATCCCTGCACCTGGATGGATGTGGATGGGAGGAATCTTTCTTCGTGGCAATGAAGGATTAGACTATGTGATGAACTTGGGGCAGGGTCTTGAACTTTCAACTGGGTGGGAAAACCTGGAAGCTTTCAGATTCAGGTTTTTCCAGGTGTGCAAATATGACATTTATAATAAAATGGACTTTGAGAAAACTCAAGCCTCAGAGTTTTATTTCATTGGGAGAGTTATTTGGAACCTTGACATTAATCCAAATCTATTCTAAAATACTCTACCAGCTCTCCTGAACCTCGGAGTGCTGTGTGAGGTCCTGAGGCCCAGCGTCGACCCAAGGCCATGTGACACAAAGACTTGGAAGATGGAAGAAGAGAAGAAACCCATGGGAGGAGCTGCAGGTGATGTCTTGGCAATTTATGTCAAGACCATCTATTCTCCTTCCCAAGCCCTGGTGGAAGCTGAGGCTGCCGAGAAGGAATGCCAGCTTGGAGCCAGACACAAAGAGCCAGCCTCTGGGTGAACTTCGCAGCCAAACCTGAACCTGCAAGGCAAAGCTGCAGGATATACCTCCCCTCAGGAAATGCTGTTGGAACCACAGACTGGTGCGGGACCAGCCTCGACCCACAAGTGGAGAATGCCAAGCAGACAGGCAACAGGCGCTCCAGAGAATGGGGATTCCCGCCACCATCATGCAGACAGTCGCTGGCTGGCCTCCCAGACCAATTCAACCAGCTCAATGTGAGTGGGGCTACCCACATCCCTGGCACTGAGCAGCCCAAGTGGGCCTTGGCACAACCAACGTTCACATTCCCGGGCTATGAATCCACAATGCAATAAAGTGGAGCCTCAGTCTCTTTCCACTTGGCACAAAGTGATCAGCCCACAGCCTCATGGCTGGGATGGGGCCAAACACCACCAGGGTGCAGGTGACCCAACACCTGGGCTGGATGAATCAGCCCAGGCTGGCAATTACAAGCCAGCAGCAGAGCTTCTGGGGATTCCTGACCCCAATCTCACAGTCAGCATTTGGATTACCGCCAGCAAGCCAGATCCCACTGGGGTGGCATTCTACCAAGGTCAAGGAGGGTGCAGCAGCTGGTCCAGCCAGTCCATCAGTCCATCAGCCAGTGCCGGTTCAACCACTTGAACTTTTCCAGCCGCAAGTCATGATCCCGCAGCCGATCCCAGTTCAGCCGCAACTGCAACTGCAGCCCCAAGCCACAATTCCCCAGCAGGTCCTGGCCCAAGAGCAGCAGCCAGTGATACTTCCACAGGATCGAGCCCAACAACAGGTGCCTGCCCAGCAACCCACTCAAGCCCAGCAGCAATCATCACTGGCTCCCCCGAAGTTCAATGAGACACCTGGGAAGCGAGCTTATTTTCTCAATTGAGTCTGGGCACACATCAACCAATATGGATGTCAGCATTCCAAATATCATGCAGAATTAAATCAGAGTCCAAGGCAGAGATATCCTTAAAGTTCCAATTTAATAAGAC